CAAAATTATATTCCTCTCTACGCAATTTTTCTTCTTCTTTTTTTTTTTTTTTTTTTTCCATTTTTTTAATCTTTTACACATGTAAGTACATATATTTAAACTTTTCATGAATCTGCATAATGTTATCCTAAACTTAGTTACTTCAAAGAGGTCTTTAAACAAATTATATCCGACATATGACATGGTTGTCATGATAACCAATTTACAAATCAATAATTTACTTACTTATCATATTGTGTTAATGATGTAAAATACCACTTAATAACGAGAAGAATTACAATTCTATTTAGAGAAACCTAACTCAACAACAAACACAGTTTCATATTTATATACCTCAGTGAAGAAAAATCAGAAAAAAGCCTTGATTTTATGTATAAACACCACAAAATTTTGCTCGAATAAGATGAAATACGTAAATTGCTATTTTAATTTGCTCGAGGACTGTTCACTATCTAAAAATAAAAATTTTATGAAAAAATTTATGCTAAAATTTGTAATTTCCGGAAATAAAGCCGGAATATTCAGCCTTCTCTACGATTTGTTGTAGTCACTTCCAAAAATTTTAGTATGTAGGTATTCTACCTATAAATGTGTATTTTCTTATATTTATTTCGCTAAATGCAAATTTATAATTTAAGAAATCTTTGGCATTCGCTGCATGAGTTTCATACCTATTTTTTCATGTCTGATGAATTTTTTTTTCATTGAACAGTAATGTCATATATGAAATATGTGGAGATAACAAACGGTATTCGAGCTCAAAAGTCCACAAATTTTTAAGGAGAGCAAACACGGACTTGTAAAACATCAGAGGTGGGATCAGGTGCCATGGAGGAGTGAGCATCCCCTGCCGGCCGGTCACACCCGCCGTGTGCTCTTTGTCATGATCGGAAAACGGAAAAATCTGTCGGCAATTCAGTGTGTAAATAATGGCCTAACAATTAGTATTAAAAAGTCAGTCAGCATTTGACTTAATGATAGATTGTATTTGCTGACAATGTCATGGTATCGACCATAAAACTTACGAAATGAAGACTTTAAACGACTGATGACTTTAAACTGACTGCTGATATTCTTGTTTCATCAATTTGTTTGTCAATAACTTACCTCGTTTTAGAAATTGTTCATATGTAGAGCATGCTCTGACGTATCGAATCAACTGAGAGATATAAACCCCGTCTGCAGATGATAAGGGTATATTGCTGCATAGGTAGGGAAGTTGACGATTGAAAAGTTAAAGTCATCACGTTTATCATAAAGTTTGGTTGTTAGATTACCATTAACGTCTTTTTCAAGTAAAATATCCAAATATGAAACAGATGTGTCAGACTCTGTGGTATCTTTTATCTCAAGTTCACCAGGATATATCGTATCGACATAAGAATGAAAATAGCCATTGTTAATTGACAATACATCGTCGATATATCTAAATGTCGAGTTGAAGGCCACAGCAAGTGTTTTCTTCTTTTCACGTACAAGATTTTGGACAAATTCTGCTTCATATGAATACAAAAAAGGTCTGCTAATAACGGGGCGCAATTGGTACCCATGGGAATTCCAATAGATGTTGGAAGACCTGGTCTCCAAAAACCACATAGATATTGTCAATCAGAAACTCGAGCATCTTTTTAATGTCAACTTCAGAGTACGTGTGTGTACAATCAGATTGTTTTTTAAATCATAGGAAATTTTCTTAAAATATGTCATCATTTTCTATGCGTATGTAACTTCTGTGATTGAAGACTTTGGAACGCCTCAGCTGCCTTATATGAGTAGAAATTTTATTTTGATGATAATGCTTAATATTATCATTTTATGCTGATATTTGGTCTCCATAGTCTAAAATTCTTCATATATACCGATATTTTGTCTCCATAATCTCATATTCTTCATATATACCGATTCTTCCCCATTGTTAGTGATATGTCTCCATTATTTGCTGATTATTTTTGTTTATATGCCGATAATTTTTCATGAATCTAGTATGCTGAGTTTTTTTTAATTACATGTTTATGCTGATATCTCTCCATTATAAGCTGAAAATTTTTCATAATATATGATTCTTCTCCATTATAGGACATTTGCGAAATAGCGTACAGCGCACAGCGGACTTCGGACTTCAGACTTTAAAAGCAGACTTTTCATAGGGACCGATATAAAAAATTGAAAAAAGATCAAGTTATAACAGATCATCTAAGAATGTGAACTATTAATAAATTTTAATCGAAGGATAGTGTTGAATTCTTAGTTTGGTTGGTATGATTAAAAAGTTTGCAGAAAATTTATATGTAGATGTATATAAATTCAAAAATTTTGAAATGTTTCGAAATAACTATTGTGCATTTGAGTCAAGTCTAAATTAAATTCTCAGAATAACAACAATATTTGGCATTTAATCTGAAAAGCATCAATTATGACGTACAAACAAGTCCTGCTACAATTTCAGCAATGATTGAAGCAAACGTTAAATTTCACATTCTGTACGTTTTTTAATTTACAAATTGAACGTACAACTTCCGAAGATGACAAAACTTTATCAAATTAAGTTTATGCCCCGCCCGCATGGTTTGTTGATAATTTAAAAAAAAGTCAATATTAAAAACTGGTTGTTAATCTCAAGATGAAAAGTACAAATCATCCAGATCTTGGCCAGTTTATGTTATTCATCTTTTTTTTTATTCATTTGCCATCGAATATACTCTTGCGCATCATTTAGCCTGGAAAACACAGTTTATATGATGTATTCTTTTTTAATTATCAGTTATTATTTCAACATGTATGGCATTGTAGATTCGATGTCCCTAATAAATTAACCGTTGAGGTTCAATGAGGAATATCTGTTACAAACTGAGGACGTTCCATCAGTTGCGGGAACTTGCACGTTTTGGCCCTTGTTGCATCATGCCTCTCCATTTTTTCTCTACTTGGCTATTTTTATTTAACTATTTATAAGATTATGAACTGTGTGGAATGCATTTGTCAAAACTTTCTGTAGAAGGACTGATATTAAAGATGTCTTATTTCATATAAACACGATGGATAATTTCGAAACCAAATTTAATGAAAATAAATAAAAGCTTTTTCTCGGAGACAAAAATATGCCTTGTTACGATTTTGGCTCATTTTTCTCAATTTTTAATGAAAAAGAATGTTGTAAATACCAAAATCTTCTCAAAATATTTAATAAAATCCGTGCATGTAATGGTTTCAGCACCTTAGCATCGACTGTGAAAGTGTGCGTCTCTGTGTGTGTGTGTGTGGAGGGGGGGGGGGGTAACTTAAATCTTTGACAACAAACAGAGAATTTGTCTAAACTCGAAAATCCCATCTCGGGGGGGGGGGGGGGGTCATCTGCACAGCAGGATTTCACTTTATATGTACTGGCTTTAAAATGATCATTTTAATATTAAATAAATAGTAAAAGAATTATGTTAGGATACTCTGTATATAATTAAAGGGCGGCTCACATCTATTAACAAAAAATCACTATATTTCTAGATAATATGAGATCAGGAATCTGCATCCATGTTTCTTACAAAGTCAAATGTATATCTCTATTCAGTTCAAATTCGATATACATCAGGGCACATAACACTGTTTCCTTTTTTCCCCTTTCTACGGGGGAGTGGAAGGGGTTAAAATATACAGCCTAAATAAATAATATCAAATAATATATACTAATTACATTTAAAAAATAAAGAATAATTAAGTAAATTAAAAAAATAAATAGATAAGAAGTTTAACTAGTGGAAGTTTGTGGATGTCACCTCCAAAAGATTTCAGAATAGAAAGTTTTTATATCATTTATGTGAAATATAGCAGTAGTATTTACACGAAAGAAAAAAGGGCTTTGTTGTCACATTGATGCATGTAGCTCTCCCCTTGTTCACTCGTGTATACGTAAATACGGCCGTAGCAGGGAAGGGTTTCTATCTTACCAACGCCTACCGTGACACGGGACTTCGGGCTTTAAAGTCTCTAGCACTAGATAACACTCTAATGCAGGGTGCATGATGAAGAAACGCTACTTATTTTCAACACCTTAGATTTGAAGCGGCACCTCGATCTAGAATCCAAACCAAACCTCCCAGTCACGAAGCGAGCACACAACCACGTGACTACCGCGCTGTAACTTTGTAAAACAGACAAAAATGTGCTACCATATCTGTGCAAAATGTAATAAAATGCAATTATGGCATGTTGTTATGAGATCACCAAAATGCAGCATCTCATACTTGTCCGATACATTTTGTGAAAAATGAAATATTACTTTCTTAAATAAAAACTTTTATTTCCCACAATTTTAATACATGCTATTCAAAATAAATGTTTATTGATTGCACTATGTTGTAAAAGTAGAGTTTACTGTGGAGTCTAATGAAAAAAATGCAACAGGGTTATAATAATTAGTAGTTATCATGTCTAATATATTTTATTTTTATACACCCACTCAGTAAAACAAAAATTTTACAAACTAATTGTAGCTTTATGAGAGAGGTCAAATTAACAGTAAGTAAACCCACGCACTTTAAAAAAAAATCATGGAATTGTAAATGTTTTGCAGTCTGGCATAATTTTTTTCTATTCAAAGAAAAATCGGTACAATAATACAAGAGTAATATTTCTGCGCAATTTTTTTTTAAAATAAATTGTCCGGGCGACAGTTGATGGGGAGTATCTTTTTTCATATCAATTGGTATAGTTTTTCGAGTGTACATCCCTTGATTGTAAGTATATATAGACAGCCGGAAAAAATATTCATACCTTTCTCTGAAAAGAATATTTTTTGCTATAGAATTATTTCTTTTAAGTGTTTATGATATTTTCTTTTACATAGTTAGTACTATGCCATAGTTGTGTTTTTGTTGCTTTAAGGACTAGCTCTCTACACTTAATTACATGTAGGTAAAATCGCGTCTTCAAACCAAGTTTCAAAATTATGAAATCAGTATACGATATCTAAAATCAATAATAATAATTATAATAATACAAAATTCAAATGTTTAAACATAGTGTTTATTGTTGCACATGTTCTTAGAGCACTCTTGTAATAATTATACAAAGAAACATCTACAGTGTTGGTCAATACAGTGCCATTTGCCATTACGTCCGAAGATTCTACAATGTCCTGAACAATCACTAGCTGTTGAGCAAGCTACAATAGAAGGTGTTTAACATGTAAGACTCTAATAATAAATATTTTACACTGCTGTCTTGTGAATATTTGCCATTATTGCATATACGTGCTAAACTGTAATATTATCTGATAGTGACTTGAGTTATTAAAAATGACGTTCGGAAATCTAAAGACTGGCTTTGCTGAATACTCCAAAACGAGCTATTTTCAACCCGATTTAGGCCCATCTCTGCAGCTGAAACTAAGACGCAAGGGCGTAAACATTGCAATAAATATGACGTCACAATGGTTTTAGAACGTCGAAATACATGCACGAGGCTTAATTAGTGCACTGACCGAATAAAGCTTTGGTTTATTAGGTTATATTTATCAGGTCAATACAAAGTGTACTATAGTAGTTGCAGGATAAACTACATTAAAAGATTTAAATTGTACATGATATAATTTTGAAAGTTTGTGTATTATTATTATATTTGTCGATGTAAGTACGCTAGAGGAAATATCTAGTTATATGAAAGACTCTAACATATATCCTTATCGTATTTCCTATCATATTACATTGTACCTATATAATGATAGCTTTGTTTAAAAAAATACTGACAAAAAAATTATTGGTCTAAACTTTTGAGTGATTATACATTGAATATTCCTTTTTCTGTTTAACTGTTTTGAACGACCATACGGTTTCATTGTGGCTTCTAGAATAGTTTTAAAAGACAGATGTTAGTAATTTAATGGAGAATTAAATTTACCTCCTGCTGCGCATGTGCACTGGCCACTGTGACACTCCAATGTATGCGCAGAATCACAGCTTGTATTTGAGCAGTCACCAACACTACTACATGTTTCAGCACTGATGTACTCTGAAATACAATCATAAATGTATCATATGTAGAATTCTGTATTCAGTGAATACTGTATATGTTAGAGTTGCTTTTTTTAAACTTTAGATTTGATATTTATGGTTTTAAATCTAATTTAGGTGGTAATTGTTGATAGCCATGCAGTATCAAGTAACACTTCAAAAATTTAAACTCTGGGGTCATTTTATTATTATACTAAAACTATGTTTCATTTCCTAATGTATTTTACAATTATATTTGGCCTTTTCTTCATGTACTGTTACTGGGACTTTTTCTTGAGGTATTGGATTTACATTAATTTATTTCCCCACCTCCCATTTTTAGTATGTTGTTTTATTTTATTAATTTTGGCTCGTGATCTTTTCCCGGGACTTGTGGGATGAATTTTAATTTTTTTTATGCGCAGTGATGTAAATAAAGTAACTGTAATAAAAATATTGAAAGACTTCCTTTTTCGTTGTTTGACAAATTCAGACGAATATACCAGTTAAACATTTGAAACCGCTTGGAGAGAGAGAAAAAAAATATTACAGGTGAAAGACTCTTTTCCTCTTGGCCGCCCTACACAAGTCATTTTAAGTCCTTAAACTTTCTGAAATTTTACGCATCGGGACAAAGTAACATATAGAGTTACATGTAGTTTAACACGTTTGAGGAAACTTACAGAAAACATTTTACATGAACAAGTCGTGATTGGTTGTTTCATTTTTGGCTTACCATGACAACACTTGCTTTGTTGCCTTGCTTCGGATTGGGACAGAAACAAACGTTAGGCAAGTTAACACATAAACAATGACGAGTTTTTGGCTTTATGGCTTGTTAATTAATAACTTGATTAAGTTCCCTTACCACGTCGGTATTGAAAAACAAACACTAAATTTTCCGTTTAAATGATGACTCCCATGCCGTAATTCTTTATCACTTGGAATTGAAGAGTTCCTTCAATGTGTCTTTTTTGGATACAGGTTTATGTACAAAAAAAATGCTTCACACAACTACATGTATTAAAAACAAATTAATCTAATACCAAAGATTGAGAATTACATTTGAATAATCGTAAAAAATGAATTTTTAAAAGATGTAATTAGATTGGGGGGGGGGGGGTTAAATTTGATAAATTATGTTGAAATAATTACTTTAAAGGTGTAAATATGCTTTACTTCCCTTTTATGTGCAAAATATTGCGCAATGCAAACCTCAATCGGCCCCCTTAATTTACTCTATTTTTATTTGCCTACAACACTTTACATTTTTAAAAACATTATTACTTTGATTATATGCAAAATGTACGCCAAGTATCGTTTTACATTAGACGATTTGGTACGGACCATATCACTTAACGTCATTACAGTGCAAGATATTTTTTTCTTACACAGGCATGGAGCACAACTTTATTTTTTTAACATCTTAAATAAAGGTTAACATTCCGATATACTTACGGACAACACACAGTACCAGGAGAACAATGGCGACCTTCATTGTTAGATTTATTTGTACAGATATCATTTCAACCAGGGGGTTTATATAGGTTACAATTGTCACGAAAATGACTTTTATTACGATAT